GGAGGAGGAGGAGGAGGAGGAGGAGGAAGATGGAGGCGCTGCCCGTGGTCTCTCTCCGTTCCCGGGAGGGATGTGGGGTGCAGCCGCCCCYCYYGAGGGGTCTCGGGGGTCCCTGGGTGACGCTGGGGACACACTGGGTGTCTGCCTGAGCGGGATGGGGCTTTTCTCGTTGCCATGGTTACCCAGCCGGGCCCTCCAGTTGCCATGGGAACGGCGCATCGGGGTGAAAAAGCGACATCTCCAGACGGCCAAAAAAGGCCGGGATTTGCCCCAGTGCGGGGGTTGGGTCCGGGGGTCGCGGTCAGGGGGTGTCCTGGGGGCTGAACGGGGTTGGGGTGGGTGCTGGGGGTACTGGGGTGACCCCTGACCCCGGGAACAGCCCCTCGTGCCCCTGGAATGGCCGTTCCCACGGGAGGWTCTGCTCCGTCAGCTCGGCTGGGATTTGGGGCGGGATTTCTGAGTGGGGTTTCTGTGGGTATGGGGGCGCCAGGCAGGTTTGCTGCTGACCCCATTCCCTTTCCCCCTGTAGGGTTTGGCTCTGCCCCACCTTGCTGGGCTCTGTCCCTCCCCTTCCAAGCCCCCCGGGTGACTCTCAGGGACCCTTTTTCTCTGTCCATTCCCCACCAGGTGATGCCGAGGGTCCCCCCGTCCCCCCAGCCCCTCCAAACGGTCCCTGGCTGTCCCTGTCACAACTTCCAGCGGGGACCCCAGCCCGGGGAGCCCCCCATGCTGGGAGGAGGGTGGGGTGCAGCAGGGGCAGCTGAGGGGCGCTGGGACGTGTTGGGATGYACTGGGATGWACTGGGATGAACTGGGGGCACAAATTGCCGTTGGGGATCTCCAGGTGACAGCGTGGCACTGGGAGATCACAGCGTCACGAGTGTCCCTGCTGGGCAGTGTCATCCCCCCCGCTCACGAGGTGTCTGTCAGTCCCGCTGTCACCCCTCTGTGTCACCTCCTGGTGTCACTGCCTGTGTCAGCCACCCCCGCTGTTGTCTGTGATGTCACTCCCAGTGTCACCCCACTTCGGTGTCGCTCCCAGTGTCACCCCCTGGTGTCGTTCCTGGTGTCACACCCATTGTCACCCCCGGTGTCACCCCGGTGTCAGGGCCACTGTCACTCCCCAAATCACCCCCGGTGTCACCCCCGCAGTCCCTCCCGGTGTCACCCCCGTTGTCCCCCGGCCCCTCCCGCCTGGTGTCACCCCCGTTGTCACAACCACTATCGCTCCCCAAATCACCCCCGGGTCACCCCCGCTGTCCCTCCCGGTGTCACCCCCGTTGTCCCCCGGCCCCTCCCTCCCGGTGCTGCCCCGAGCGGCCGCCAGGGGTCGCGCTGGTCCCGGGGCGGGCTCCAGTGGGCGGAGCAAACACCACCCGGTGGGCGTGGCCG